ACAAAGGCTTTTTGGAATTAGAGCACTGAATTGTTGCATGTACCAGACAAACTCATGGCAGACGGAGCAGAACGTAGGCTGCGGGAAGAAGGTGGCAGTGAACTCGTGACACTTGACGTTGTGAATTTTGGCTTGCTTGATAGCCCCCCTCCGCTGATGCAGAGAGAAAAACCCTTCCGTCTCGCAGTCAGCTAGCTCTTTGGCATCTGGGGAGAAGCAGAGACATACACTTTCATTAGAACATGCAGAGATCACGTACAGAAATACTAAGATATAAATATAAATATAGAGGTGCAGTCTGGGTTTCTAAGGTGTTTTCTACGGAGGGATCAAAAAGTGCTTTGCAAAGAAGTAAAGAAGTCAGACACTGCCCCTAGGGGGTGAATATGATGCTATCTTGATAGAGGGGGGCACTGAGATATGCAAGTTATATGACTTGCACAAGAACACGGGTGGGATAGTTGTGAATTGAACCCAGGAATCCTCTGCTCCAACTTCCTAGAACTGGGTTGAAGGAAGCAAATTATATGGGTCTGAAGTGGCCTAAAAATACTTATTATAAGACTTTTAAGTGTTACATTGGTATCCTCTAGTTAGAAAGGCAGCAGGCAGAGTGGCTTTGCCTGTTCCATGAGGGCTCCCATTGCACCACATCAAAGCAGAAAGGGAAAGTGCTTCTATTAAGCAATTAACCTGATGAAATGCCAGTTGGCTTCTCTGAACCCACTGGTAGAGAAGCTTTCAGCATTGATGATGTGAATTTATGACAGGGGCCATGATCTAAGGAGAAGAAAAGGGACGGAAATAATAAAAGGAGCTGTGCAGAGAAAGGCAATGAAGTTTCAAAGAGGATTTGCTATTCAGAAATTTGGGGTGCTGCTTTGATTAAGAACCACACCTCCGCATTTACAAAAATCACAGCCAAAGACATGGAGCCCCAGAATCAGAGAGCGGGCAGCCTCGGCATCAGGGTGGATTTTAATCATGATTTACATCACCGGGCAGGAAGCCTCGATTGAATCCTTGTTTTCTACAAAAAAATGCATTCTTGTTGTTTGATATAACCTGAATACATCTTATTCATAACTCAGAGATTAGATACAGGTTTCATTTTTGGAAGCTATACACTATACGTTTTAAAGCAGTGATTTATTTTGATATTTTAGCCATGATTTATTTTGATACTTTTTCAGATTAATTTTGCAAGCTACATCGGAAACCAGAATTATGATTCGGTTATTTTATTAACCAAAGCTAATTGAAGCAGATCCTTGTGAAGCCATTGGGAGGTGAATTATCTCCAATTCACTAGATTAATCATGGATACTTGGGGGATATTTTTGCCATGCTGTGTTAGGAGGGCAACAACAACCATCACCAAAAGCAAGAGATACTTAAATTGTTTTATTTCACTAAAACAACAAGATTATGTGTTTTGGGATAGTTTTCTTCAACAAACATGCATTATTTTAACAAAACAAGCATATGTATTTTTGCATTTTTAACTGGTTTAGTTAAAAATGTGAAATGTGTTTTTAACAAAAAAATAAATTGATTATTTCAGCCAGGACAACATGAGAAACTTAAAATACTGGATTATGCAGCAAACTCAGTCTTCACTGCCCTCTTTCAGTTTATTCATGGACTGGAAAAGAAAGACAAGCTCAGTTCACAGAGATACTTAATGGGATCTTCTAGTCTGAGCAATGAGTCCCACTGGGTAGAGCAGGTTCTTTTAATCTTTATTAATCTATAGAGGAGCCTAGGGGAACCTCATAAAATTGGGCCCTTAATATAATCCGTGGCTTGCTGTGACCTATTTATAACACTTTTCTAAAAAGGTTACATGAGTATACTGTCTCAAATAGTATATAATTAGAAGTTATAATCCCTATTCCACGATATCTTTGAGCTTTAACATATCTTAAATGAAAACTATCTTTATATAGGTTTTTTTAAACAAAAAAAAATTTAAAATACAATTCAATCAACAAAATCTGATTTGAATTTAAAAAAATGTTGCTTTTTATTCACCCTTTTTTAAAAAACAACCTGATTTTATTTGATTTTAAAAAATTGTTGCTTTTTATTCACCCTGATAAAAAAAAAAAAATCGGATTTGATTTGATTTTTAAAAAGTGTTGCTTTTTATTCACCCTGCCTGGGGCATTGGACTCTGAGACAGGGGGCACATCTACACAAGACGTTTACTGCAGAGCTGCCAAGTTAGCTCCTCAGTAAATGTCTCGGCGTCTACACATGTGACCCTATTAGGCTTCAGTCAACTAATGAACTCCGTGGCAGGTTAATACTTGTAAATACAAGTACTAGCCTGCTGCAGAGCTTTTTCATGCGCAGTAATGCATGTGTAGATGCTGATGGGGCTGGCTGGGGCACAAGGGCGCTTCAGTGCAGGGGCTGCCTGCCAGCTAGCCCTGCATCGGAGCACCCTCGTGCCCCAGCCAGCCCCTTTGCAACATGTTGAGCCCTGGGCTGGCAGGTTGATCCCCCGGGCCTCCTGCCAGCTGGGACTGCACCTACTCAGCTCAACATGCTGCAGTCGGGTGCACGTTCAAACGGTGCACCTGGGAGCAATAAACTCCAGCGTGATATGCATTGGAGTTTATTGCTTTGAAGCAATTGCGTGTGTAGACGCACACGGTGTATCCGAGTTGCACTCAGTTACAGACCGGGAAATGTATGGGAGCGGAGGTAAGCCACTTACCCTGGAATCAAGTGTTCCCAGCTAGGGAGGCTACTGAGGAGGCCAAGGGGAAAAGCCTGAAGGAAACCACAGAAGCCCCTGATGGAGGCTTGCTTCCCAAGCAGGTGTTGTCTGGTAGGCAGGACCCAATTCAGACACTGCCTGAGTTTTGCTGCAGCTCCGGCAAAACCGAAGCAATTCTGCGGGATGTTTCCACTGCTGGATCAGCCAAAATGGTTTGATTCCTGATTTCCACATCCCACCTCTTTTAAAGCAACACCAGCTCTACGTGTTAATGCAGAGAAGGCCTTATCATGGTGCTGGCTCTCACAGTGTTGATTCTGGCTGGTATCTGGAAGGGTGATTTCCAAAGAAAACCTTGGTCTTGAAGGAAGTGGTTAGTTTGGTTTAGTAACCAGAATACTTCCTTCTAAAGCAGAACTGAGCTGATGTCCCAGGATGGGGTTCAAGTGTAGCAAAAAGGTGCTCACCCTAGATTTCCATGTAAAATTTGGGACTGCGGACAGGGGGCCATGAAGACTCAAAGATCAGCTCAACAGCTAAATCCCCTGTGAGCCATGTCTTGGTGGGGCACTGCTGTCCATGTGGGCACCACCTTGATCCTAACAGAGCCCTCAAAAGAAACAAACTCATGAATATTAAGTGCAGGACAGAGCTGTATAAATGGCAGCCACATTTTTAAAGTATGGCGCTTTTGGAAATGTGTGTGATGCTGTTTCAGATACTCCTTTGTCTATGGTGCAAACTACAACGCTGACGTGAGGTATGGCCTGATCCAACTGTGGAGCGCGTCACCATGAATATTCACGATGTGGTTTTTGCAAATAAAGACCTTTACATTCTTAACAACGAGGTGTGCAGGTGTAAGGATTGCATTGTCCACAAAGCCACATGAATGCAGTTTACAGTTGGGAGGTCTGTACAGGTGCAGCCCAAACATGTGAAATAAGCAGGATCCTTTCCAGCGATTGCAGGAGGACCTGAAGCTGGAATTAGGTCCTTCTTTCTTGTCCAATTGGGCTTAAGGGAATGCATTTATATGGCAGCAGTTAAAGGATCTGCTTTTTTTTTTCCCTGGCAAACCAAGCAAATTTGATTTGCAAACCAATGAGGGGCAGCGAACGTGGAACGTCATGGTACTATATGCATTGTTTTCACAGTAAAACTGCATTTAACTCATGGCAATAAACACGTCATAAGTCTCGCCATGAACGATCAGTAAGAAAATGTGCATTGTTTTCAATAGTAGGCATTTCTTTGGAGACAGCACGTCTGCCCCAGTTAACTGAAAATCACCCTGATCAATTAAAAGAATAAAGTCACTTGCCACTTATTTCCAGGAAGTATCTTGCATTCATTAGCATTCTCCCTTGAGGTTTTAGTTCTAGCTGATTGAGATAAGGAAATAAAAAAAACACACAAAACAGAGCCATTATTACACAATAAAACTACCCAATCGTAATGATTTCAGATGGTTTGAGCTAATGCAAAGCAAAAGTCCAGCAACAATCTCAGGGGGGAAAAATTATGTCCAGGTGGACTTCATAGATTTGAGGGTCGGAAGGGACTTCAGCTGGTCACTGAGTCCGCCCCCCTGCCCTGGGCAGGAAAGAGCGCTGGGGTCAGATGACCCAGCCAGGTGTTTGTCCAATAAACTTTTATCTCTGGTTTGCTTGCTATTACATGAAATAACCACCCAAGAGAGAAGGGTGTTGTTGGAGAAATCACACAATTAGCTTCAGTTAGGAGATTGTGTGGCTTCTCCCCAAAGCTTAGAAACGGCACGATAGAAAATAGAGCTCAGCAACGAAATAATGGTGAGGCTTTCCAAAGAAGCTCACCGTACAACAAGCTCAAGGCAAGAACTTGCCATTCGCATACCTGCTCCTGAGAGCTGGGCATTTTTTAACCCTATCCACTTCTTTGAGGTGCCTTTTAAATCCCTGAACCCAGATTCCCAACCTCCAAGACTTCAGGGAGAGCTAGGGGCTTAACTTACTCATTTTTCCTGCATCCCACTTTCTTACCCATCTCCCTCCTTCGAACTTTAACTATCTATAAATCCGGCCCCAAAACAGATGCTCTTCAAAATATTACACTTATACACTTAGAGCATAGTCTGAAATCTGAAAGGAAAAATGGCACGTGATTCCAGTCAATTAACAGCTCTCCTAATTGCGTGCCGCTCAGCACTTATTAAAAATGTTGCTGTCACAAAAATGCTGTGTGCTACATAGCGTTACCAACCACCTGCTTGCTAGGATTATCGTGATGTGTAATTAATATCCGAGCCCTGATCCGGGACTGCGTTACTGCAGATTTAGACTGCTATGTCTCCGTTGATTTGAATAACATGGAAATAATACAATAGTGCTGCATCCCCTTGATATTAAAACGATTACATTTGAAAGCATTTCCCCCAGGACACACGAAATAATTTACATTTAATCACTGAGATTACTGTCTCCCCCCAAGGATTTTTCTAAAAAAAAAAAAAGAAAAGGTTAATATGCCTGCATGACTCGCATGAGCCGGCATATTTTGCTAATGGAGGGCGCATGTTTTAATACAGCAATGGCACCCAATAGAAATGTGTTGTGCTGTACTTTTTTTTTGATGTTCACGGACATTCTTCCACAAGGCAATGCCCCAGTAGACTCAAAATGTGTCCCTGGGCTCACAGCCAGTTTTTGTTGGCCTATTGGTTATATTCATAGTGTGGCCTTTGAACACAGCGCATTCTTCTATTCCAGAGCAGCTATTTGCAGCAAACTGCAAGTGGAGGCAAGTATTCAAAGCGCATACCCATATTTCGGTCTTCCCGTTGCTCTTCTTGCACCTGTCTGCCAGCAACTTGAGTTCTACGGTGGTTTCTGAAACCATTTCTGCACTTTTGTCCTTCACAACAATGTGCATGACTCTCCCGTTGTTGATGTGGGCATCGAAAGTGCTGTTCCAAGGTGGGTACATGGTGGGCTTCTTTTGGACGTACACTTGGCCATTCTCTGTTGACAAAGGGATATTTCGACTTAATGAGATTCTTACCTGAGATGATGAAACGCAGTCGGTCCAATTCTGTTTTACGCTAAGGCTGCTGTATTCCATGCTGATGGTATAAAGGGGCCTCAGAGAAGATATAAATGTGATGTATGACTACTTTAAGGTCCCCTTATACAATCATGAAGACACAGAGCAGCTTTCGAGTTGATAAGGAATCAAGCCTTGTATGTGGTTTAGGTCCAAATGCTTTTGGTACCACGAAATCCTGCTTCTCAAATTCTTTGTCTTCCTTGAGGACACCGAAAAGATTCAAGCAAGTGCATGAACCCATGCAAACAAACCAACAGCTAGACCATGTCTATGGAGGAAATAAGAGTGGCATTAGAGAAGATAGGCTTTGGGGAGGATAATGATAACTCTTT